TAAGAACTTCCATCTTCAATGTTGTGTATACTAGGAAAAAAGTACATGGCTGTTAAATTTCTTTATTTAAGACTCCATATAACAAATTTGGTACTGGTACTAATGTACTGACTAGTTACTGAATAGATCTTGTCAGTGTTTATGGCCCACATACAGTACATGAGTGAACTTTCATATTAGATTTGCAACCTGAGTTAAGAAAGATTTAAATATAATATTCAGATTCAACATTTAAAGATTTAACATGTGAAAGTATTTAAAACACTTCTATAACGTATCAACTTTTCAAAATAATAATGTAAAACAAACCTACCTTGAACTATGACCTTGTATTCAGCTACCCTTTGCACTTGTTCGCTGATCACAACTGCAGTATAATCTCCACTGTCACTGTGTTGAACATTCTTTAATTTCAAAGAGCAATTTGGTCCAAACAACTCAGCCCTTCCTGCATATTTGTTATACACGACTGGATCTCTATTAAAAACACATTTAGCTATATTGTTACTGGAATTAAATCTCCAGAACAATTCTGTCTGTTCGTCAAGTTTAACAGGTTTCTCTGTATCCAAGTGTAAGTCGTTTCCATGCACCACAAACACATGTTGGAGACCTAAAAGAAAAGGAAAAACAAAAAATATCAGTCACGAACATCCTGCTGCAATTATGTTAAATCAAACACAAATGCAACACAAAAAGGACCTGACACACACGGCGTTGCAGTGTTGTGAAGATTTTGGTTTTTTTGTTATATTGTTTTCACCGCAGCTTTTCACCTGCCTTCTGCTGCTCTGCACACCTCACAAAGCGCTTTGGTCAGGTCCTGACAACCTACTCGCACAGGGGGAGGGATGAGTTTATGATGGAGACCATCTTTGTTGGTCAACCTCCCCTGACACCACCTGCTGCTCCTCCCTATTGTTTGATTATTTTCATTATTGTTTAGTCACAGCTAACTGCTTGCGTTTTTAGCATCCACCAAACAATAATCAGTTTCACATTTCAGATAAAGCTGTTGTGGAAAACCTGAACTTGTTATGAGATACAGCTTCCATCTCACTTCGGACAGCCCACCTCTCATATCTTGAGATATGACCAAATATATCAAGTCTTATTACCAGTTTTGGGTAAGTTACTTTAAATTAGTAACTTAGTTACATTACTAGTTACTTCTATCAAAAGTAACTCATTTATTTCAAGTTACTAGTTACTTTCAAAGTAACTAGTTACTAGGGAAGGTAATTTTGGTTATTCTCAGAATTCTCTTGTTAATGTGTTGCTTCCGTAACTGGATACCCAGCAAGCTTGCCAGTCTTCTAGCTTGCTTACTTGCCACAAGTGCACTGTGCCACCTACCAATAGAAAGGAAAAAATAATGTGCTTATTTCCACGAGAGAAATCCCATGCCTGGACCATCGCCATGATTCTAGCCTACGTCACAGCATCATGTGCGCTTTTTACATCCAACACGAAAACTGCAGTCGTGGTGCTTTCGATTGTACTCAGAACTTGGAAATTCTGCCTTCCAAATAGAAAGATGTAAGCAACACTAGACTGCAGGTGAGCTGCATACAGGGCTGGACTGGGACAAAAAATCGGCCTGGGCATTTTGACTAGAGACCAGCCCACCATTATAGGAAAAATCATAAAGCCTTTGAATGAAAACAAACGCTGTTGGGACAGTGATGTACACTGTTTTGATTGTATATATGCATCAATCTATCAATCGTTTCTTGTAAGATTCAGATAATTATTTAATAAAAGCTAGATATTTTAAATGAGAATAAGAAAGAAAAGTATTTCTTTGTTCCCTGTTAATGCCCTACCTGCCCCCCTGGCAAAACTGGGGGTTTACAAGTACAAGTAACGCGTTACTGCCCATCTCTGGTCCCTACACTGCTTATTACTAAATTAACAGCTGTGAAAGAGTTCCAGCAATCTTTCATTCTAGTTTATACGTCAACCAAAGGTCAGGACAGTTAGGATTACTTTGAAAGTTGCACTCTTGGCCTCCCACACACTTAAAAAAACATATTTGTCATTTTCTTGTCCACCCCCACCTTTCAACTTTCTGATTCTCTGATTTAGTGCTCAGTGAGATAAAATTATTATAGTGGGTAACTGTTGTTTTCATTAGTGTTGATGTTGTAAGTGTTGTCACCAAATTTAACCAAAAATCATCAATGAAGGAATCAACCATGAAAAATGAAAAGAAGACTGAGATGAAGTTATACAACATTTGAAAACTTTAATCTTAGCCTTCCAGACCCAAACTGTCTGTTTCCAGTCTGTAACTCCTCCTATCCTTCACTGCTGTCAAACACTATTGCATCTTGATAATAACTGTTTTTGGTAGTAAATTAAGTTTCTATTTCACTACTACAACAGATGGCAGATGTGAGTCAATTCCATGAAGTGCAAGCACATTTTCAGACCCTATAAAGACCTAAAGAGACACGTAAGACATAAAGTCTTCTACTCACAC